TATAATTACAGATATAACAGACATTATAACGATTCAAGATGTATTCAAAAATATAATGATAATCATAATATTGGGAATCGAGGAAATAATCAAGTATGCAATTATAAATATCATAACAACGACAATAATCAATCACGATATACAAATAAAGTAAACACTGTAAATATAGAAGAGATAAAAGAAGATGATAATGACAAACTAGAAAGAAAAGAATATAATTTATACAATTTAGACATAAACAATATGGATACCGATAATAATTACACAGCTAACGATGCTTACAAGGTCACGGTATATTTGAATGACATGCCTATTTTGATGCAGATCGACACCGGGTCAAAGTATAGTATTCTACCGATTCATATCGCGAAAAGATTGAGTAAAAATCTTAAATAAATCAGATATTAAATTAACTGGTTATGATGGAAACACAATAAATGTTTTAGGAACTACCAAAGTCAAGGCAAAATTGAAGACAAAAGTCAAATCTTAACTGCTTATGTAGTCCAGAGTGATAAGATTGAACTGTTAGGAAGGACCTGGATAGCAGTTTTAGAAATATACTAGATAGATTTGTAAACTTAGTCGAAGAAGATTATGACAATACTATTCAAGAACTGATCAAACAATGCGAGTCAAAACTTAGCAAGAAACCAATACTACGCAATTATGTCAAACTACATCTAAAACAAGGTGCTACACCGAAAATCATACCTCCCAGGCGTGTACCTTATTCTAGAATGGAATTGGTTACAAAAGAACTACAGAAGTGGATAAGCGACAAAATAATCGAACCTGTTGAAGAGGTAAGATGGGCCAGTTCTCTCACTCCTGTTGTCAAGAGCGATGGTTCAATTCGGCTATGTGTTGACTTCAAGAATACTATTAATCCTGCGTTAGAGGATTTCAAGTACCCAATTCCACGCATTAATGACCTTATGGCAAAGTTATCGAAAGGCAAGAAATTTACAAAGATCGACTTTAAAAATGCATTTCTTCAAGTTCCAATACACAAAGAATCAAGAGACTTTCTCACTATTTCAACTCATAAAGGCTATTTCAGGTTTACAAGACTTCCGTTTGGATTAAAAACTTCGTCAGCAATATTCCAACAAACCATGGATAACATTTTCGGGAACATGAAAGACGTCGTGTTTTATATTGATGACTTATTGATTACTGGGGAGAATGATGAAGCTCACGTGAACAACATAAAAATGGTACTTGACAAAATATCAAAGTATGGGCTTACGCAAGCTTCACAAAGTATCTTTTTTAAAAAAAAACTACGGTTTCTAGGTCACGATATAGACGACAATGGAATCCATCCGAACGCAGATAAAATAAAGGCTATTTCTAATATGCCGGAACCTAAGACAAAAGAATTTTTTTTTTTTTTTTTTTTTTTTGCGAGCTATTATCGAAAATTTCTGTGCAATTTTGCTGACATCGCCGATCCCTTATACAAAATAGTAAATAAAGACAAGTGGTCATGGGATAGTACACATCAAGAAAGCTTTGATTACCTAAAAAAACTCATAAGCACTCCGCCTACGTTAAATTTTTATAACCCGGATCTACCAGTGGGCATTGCAACTGATGCTTCAAAGAAAGGGTTAGGCGCAGTTTTATTTCATATTGAGGGTGATGGCAAAGAAAAACCCATCGCTTTCGCGTCAAGAGCACTATTGAAATCAGAGTTAAATTAACACCAATATCGAAGAAACATGTTAATTTACGCGGTTAAAAAATTCCAGGAGTATTTAATAGGCACAAGATTTGTAATAATTACCGACACAAGCCACTCGTGCATATATTTACGAAGGGACTCAAGGACAATTCTTCCATATCAATGCGACTCCAAAAATGGAACTTGGCTATGGGAGCGCATGACTTTACGATAGTTCACAGACCCGGGAAACGAAATATTGTACCAGACTGTTTGTCCAGATTACAACTAATGAATACAGAAGAGATGGTACAAAAGTTAGATGACGAAATAATTGATGACAATTTTTGGGACACACCAATAAATTTTAAAAGAATAGTTAAAGAAACTAATATTGATCAAGAACTAATGGAAGTAATTAATGATATAAGGAATCATGAGCAGATAAAGAACAAAACGTATAAAAATATGGTATTGGAATTGAGTTTAATCAAGGTTGCCTTTTTAAAGAGAATAGGATCATAATACTGAAAGGAAGCGTATTATGAGAAAGAGATTTTGCAAGAGTTGCATAATGGGCATCTCGGTGCTGGAAAAACAAAATCATTAGCGCGAGAGTATCTGTGGTGGCCTGGTTTAAATGCAGAAATAGATCAGGAGGTAAAGAATTGCGATGCTTGCAATAAATACGCAGACAATCCTCATAATATTCAAAACCCATGGGAAACAGCAACGAAAGTATTCGAGCGCGTACACTCATTTTCAGAGTTCAAAGATAATAATTTTATGGTATGTGTTGACGCCTTCAGCAAATTTCCTATTATTAGGAGAATGAGAAACACAACTACGGAATCAACGATTAAAGAATTGATGAAAATAATAAGTTTATTTGTTTTTTTTTTTTTTTTTTTTTTTTTTTTTTTTACTAACTTTACCAGTAAATTATTCAAGAAATTTTGTGAAGATCATGAAATCGAACACTTGCTCACCGCACCTCACCACCAACAGTCCAATGGCCAATGTGAGCGTATGATTAGATCAATGAAAATGAATATGAAAAGGAATATGGAAAATAATAATAAAATAGACGTAGACATAGCTCTAGAAAAGTTTCTTTTTAATTATCGTAATACACCCAACGCAACGACCAACAAAATACCAAGCGAAGTAATGTTCTCCAGAATGATTAGGACAAAATGGGAGTTGATAAAACCGAGGGATGAAAGAGATCATATACTAAATCGCAAGATATCAATAGATAGGGATATAGAAATAGGAGACAACATATGGTATAAAACTTTTAAAGATAATAATTGGGAAAAAGATACAATAATGCGCAAAAAACGGAAATTTGTTGTATGATATAGATACTGGGAACAAAATTATAAAAAGACACTTGGACCAAATAAAAAGAAGATCAACTAATGTAGAACTTTCTTCTAATGGTGCAACAGTTTTTAAAGCGAATGTTAATAATAATGCATCACCTTATACATTGAATTTTAGAAGGAGAGGTGATGAAACAAGAAACCAAAACGTACAAATAAATGATCAGAATCAAAGACCAGTTAGAAATACTGTGTTGCCTAGAAAATTTGAAAATTTTATAATGAATTAAATTTGATAATAAATTTTTTTTTCTCTCTTCCTTATATTAAAACAAAATTAGTTATTTTGTGTGTGGAACTAAATAGATAAAACGTACAAAAGATCAACGAAGGGGTTGACGAGCAAGAATGACATACAACTAAATTATAGACAGAGGGCAAATAAAAAAAATTAAAAAAAAAAAGTGTGAAATGTTAAATAATATTAACTTTAAAAAATTATTTTTTTTTATCCTTAAGCCATTTATGGCGTAACTTAAAATTTCTTTTTGTTAAAAACAACTTTTATATTTTAAATCAATTTGTTTGTAAACTAATATTTTATAAATCAGTTTCTTTCTTTTTGTTAAAAAAACAACTTTTATATTTTAAATCAAATTGTTTATAAACTAATATTAAAATTTTATATTTTATAAATCAATTTACTTAACAAACTAATGTTCAATTTTTTATTTTTAATCAATTTATATAAATTACATTGTCAATATATATAGCAAACTTTTTTTGAATATATCATCATTATTTTTTTTTAATCTAAATTTCAATAAACTTTTTAAAAATGGATCGCTCTCCCTCCATCGAAATAGTCTTGACACAAATCCTCTTCAAACTCGGTTTGGATAATTTCACCACTATAGCCCAAAATATCCAATGGCTACCCTCCGAGGAAATCCCAGCAGACGAACCTTCCAGGATTTTAATGGCCTAAAGGGAACACCTAGACCTCTTTAATGAACTGATTCTAACGGGCCCCGTTCTGCTACAACAAGATCAAGTCTCACTTTTTGGCGAAGAATCCAGTATAGGAACTCCCTCTCTTATTTCAGGACTCTCCGCCCTACCCGAACCAAGCTAAACTTTAACTGCGAAGTATCAATGGGAAAACGTGTCAATCAGTTCAAACAAATTGCCACTTTACTGATCAAAACCTCCTAAACAATAATAACAGTCAGAACAAATCTTCCGTCAATATTTATTTATATAAATACCTTATACTAATTCTGTTTACTCCATTATTATTTTTTCTTGCATTTTTGTACTTTTAAAAATTTTGATCAATAAAGCCTTAGGCCAAGGTATCCGATGCATCCTACATTTCCCCATTAGAGGGAAAATGGTAAAAGGTAGCAATGGCTTGCAAAGAGTTGAAAATGAAACATCATCCTGCTTCACCATCTGAGTTATGAATCGGCATTGTTAAATATAATTATATAAGAAATTACTGATAGTCTTCTACATGGCAATCTCATTTATATATTTTTAAAAAAGTTAGAAATGTAACATGATATTGCTTGCACGATCTGAGCAATGAAAGGATCAATAATGAGAATGGAAGAGTGCAAGAGTTAATTTTTATATTTTCCTTTTAAAAATATATTATTGAGATGAAATGATAGCTAAGGAAGTCCAGGTATTCAAATGAAGCGTATAAGATTTCAGTTGTAAATTTTTGAAGTAACTATTCTTAGTCTTATGTAAAAATGTATCGAGTTGGAATAAAATATTTGGCCCCTCCACAGGACATATATAAATGTAGTAAAGTAATGGGTTTTTTGTGATTTCGAAATTGGCAAAAGTATTTTAGGAAATGGTCGATATAAAAACATATTGGGGTTAACTCAATGATATATATAACTATAGATTGGCGATTCATTCATTCAATGCATTATAAAAGTGTCCACATATTGTAATCAGCTGTAGCGCCATTTTGTAGTTTGGTTATCCATTATTTGTCAGCAAGAAATATTAATATATAGAAAACAAGTCTACTACGATAATTTAGTTTTAAAGGTTTCGATTTATGATATAATATTTTATATTATCTTTTATTCTTAAATTTTCATAAGACTTTTTTTATGAAGGTGGTCTAGGTGATTATATTTAAAAAATAAATCTAAGACTAACCCACCTTTTAATTTTTAAAAATATAGTTTAACCTAATCCTGCATGGACTTATAAATCTTATGTTAATGCATCTTAGGATACATGCAAAACAGATCTAATATCACTTTTATTATTTTATTTAGATAATGGGAGTGTGCTGTGTTCATAATTGTAATAAAACAAATAAAATAGAATCTAATACACATATTTCTTATCATAAGTATATATATTATTTTTTATATGCAACATATTTATTACATAAAGCATTAATAAGCTACAAACATTGAAAAAAAATCCTTATTTAGTAAAAATATAAAGTTTTCTCATTTTTATTGCTAGGACAAATAATGCTTCTTCCTCTTGAATTGATAAGATTTTTATTTTGAACTTTGCCTAAATATTTTTCTGGATAAAATATTAAGTTAGCCATTTTTAAAATACATATTTACTATGATACAGTTTCATTTTAAATATTTGTAAGAAATATGTAAACCATATATATATTAATAGAGACTCTGCCAATCAACAAATTTTCACTGATTCAATACTATATTACTAATAACTGATCTGATATTTATATTGATTTTTATATACTATCTATCTTTGTATCAATGTCATAAATATATCTTATATTTTACTCATTATTATTCACCTATTTTTAAATATAGATTTCCATTAAAATCCAAATAATTATTGGAAAAATGGTTACAGGCTATAAATAGGAAAAATTTTATGCCTAATAAATATAGTATTATTTGTGGAAGGCATTTTAAAAATACTTGTTTCATTCATACTTTAGTTTCATTCATACTTTATCCGGAAAGATTTTATTGAAGGAAGATTCAATTCCATCGATATTTAGTATATCTAAGCCACTTCATGATGTATGTTAACAATATCATTACATAGTTAAAACAATATTTTAAAATGTATACTTTTTAGAAAATGAATGTTTATTCAAATAACATACAAACACCATTAAAAAGTGATATATTATATGAAAATGATCCAATTATACATATAATAAATGATCATAATTATTCCGCGACATATGAAACATTAAAAAGAAAAATTATATACCAAGAGGCTATTATTAAACGCTTAAAAAAAGGGCACATGCTTATTATAGGAGCTCAAAAAGAGGAAAAAATAAAATAATCAATTTACAAACAATCACTTCACTAAAAGACAAAAATTTGTTATCAGATGATGTCTAAAATATTATAGACAGGCAATTTACAGGGACATCTTCTATATTCCTTAAAACACATATACACAGTGGAGGCATCTCAAACCCACAAAAAAATATTTACAAGTGAATTTCGTCAATTTGCATTGACTATGCATTTTTATTCACCTAAGGCTTACAGATATCTCAAAACACACTTTTGTATGCCTCCGGAATCCACATTAAGGGCATGGAGTCGCAAGATTGAAATCATGTCAGGTTTATTATTATAATTTTAAAAAAATAAATAAAATTAAATTAAATAAAGGTTTCCTTTCTATTTCATTTACTTAAATTAAAAGCTACCAAAAAAAATCAGAAAAGCAGTTGTATTGTGTACTTAGCCTTGATGAAATGCATATTAAAACTCAAATAGATTATGACCCCCACAAAGCAGAATATCATGGTTATGAGAATAATCGACTAAATTATAATAACATATTATTGATGCATTTAAAAAATATATTTATTATATATTATCGAAGATATGGTTATGATTCTGCATTTTATATGTATGGACCCCCTCTAAGAAAAATTCCTAGCTATGCCACTGGTATGGATCCTGATAATATCATTCCATATATTGAGCTGGAATTTTATGAATCGGAAAAAATATATATGTTACTAGATGTTTGTCATATGCTCAAATTACTTAGAAATCTATTAGCGGAGTAGGAAATTTTAATAAATGAATCAAATGGAGAGGTAGCTAGCTATATTAAATTTGATTAAATATTTATTTTGTATTTATAGATAATAGATTGGAAGCATATACAAAATTTACATAAATTGCAGGAGTGCGAAGGTTTACGTGCTGCAAATAAATTGTGCAAAGCACATATTGCTTTCCACAAACAAAAAATGAAAGTTTGATAATAAATATATAATTATTAAATATTTTTTAAAGGTATTCGATCTGCTGTTCGCATTTCATTAATGGCGAAATTGGATACTACAATTACAGGAAATTGCATTTCCTTAGATAATACTCAATTAATATGTTCAAATTTTCAAAATAATCATGACGATGATTTTAATTCTATCAAAACTATTTCAAATCCAATAATACCACAGGCATTATCTTATTATTTTAGCCAAACAAATCCTCATATCCCGAAATTATCATTATATTTAGATAATTTAACAACTTATATTTCGGGATATATAGTACAACAACTTATTAAAGAAAAAAAGGTACAATGTGATGTTTGCATTAATGCAATGGTCAGTGATTCATATATTGATAATAATATAAATAATATGCTCATAAATTTTAAAAATAATGAGGGGTTAGTGATTCCTTCTTCTAGTATGTCATGCAGAATTTGTGAAAGTTCATTTAGAACTTATCAAAATGATATTAAACGTAAAAATATTATTAAAAAAATGGAAGTGTTGGTTTTTTCCACAATAATTGGTACAAATATTTTTATTGATCTTACTGAACATATTAATGATGAGATTGGTTACATCCATTTTCAAATTCTTGTAAAATTAATTGTTCAAAGGTAATCATTTATTAGTTTTAATACTATTTTTTTTAAAGATATTTAAATATTAAATTTTTTCATTTTGCTGACAGAAACCAGGAATTGAGAACTGGTATGAGGCAAAATCTTACAAAAGCAATACAATTTAATAATCATTAAGTCATGTAAATTAATATTTATATCTTCTTTTATTTTTTAAAAATTATATTGTATAAAGAACAGGCCTGATATAAGACATATTATAAAAATTATGATATTATATATAATCTATGCTAATGTAAATATTTTTTATTTTTTATAGGTGATGATAGAATCAAAAAGAATGAATGTTTATAATCAAAGATAATATGAATGTGAATCATCACATTATTAAAAATACATTTTGTTTTTTAAAGTGTACACATTTATATTTTTATATATTTTGTATAAACCTTATTTAAATGATTTATATAATAATTTATACTCATGCAAAAAATGTTATTATTACACTATGTTTTTATTGAAAAAAAAATAAAAGATGTTTTCATTTGTCATTTATAATTAAGATGAAATAATTAAAACAAAAAAAATTATAAATGATTATTACAATAAAAATTAAGTGAGATGAGCTCTCAACCCATCTTTTAAGATGGTTTAACTTATTTCATCTAGAACACATAATCCAAAAAAATTTTTTAATTGACAGGATATTTTTATATAAAATCTTATTTTCTTAACGTAATTAATTGATCTTCATCTACTTTTAGAGTATATCTTTGGTTCATCCTTTATAATAAAATTAATAAATACAAAATAAAAATAAGTTAAAAAAGTAAGAAAAAAATTAACATTGATTTCTCTTATTAGTAAAACAAAATTTGTAGATTTTATTTAATTATATCTATACAGATCATTTATATAAATTTTGATTATTATTTTAAGGTATAAATTACTTACCTAAAATTAAAAGTACCAGCAACTACAATAAATATCGGTGCATCATTTTTATTTATTAATAAGATATGAATCATAAAATATTATTATATTTAATAATAAGGATTCCATAAATGAACAATAAGTGGATAGTAAGATTTTTTTTGAAACATCAAGTGAATTTGATAAGCTATAAAAACTAATTTTATTAGAAAAATTAACAAATATATATAAAAAAATAATGATTTTGATATTTGCATTAATATGTATAAAATAAATTAGACTTTCTAATAAATGATTGGGGGTTAAATGGTTGGTTTAAAAATAAATTTATTTTTATAATAATATTAATCAAGTAGATAAATTAACTTAAAACTATGATTGAAATGATTGAGTCAAAGGAATCTGTGTGATAAGTTTTTTTGGCAATTATATATAGGCAGTGGACCTTATTTGGTTGAATATTTGAGGGTGTATTGGATATAAGTATGGAATAATTTGTATGGGTATAATTTTGGTGATTTTTGCTTCAGTGATATTGTAGCAATCTATGTTTCTGAATAATTTCTGGGTGAAATTAATTTAATGATATTATGTACTATTATTGTATTAAATGTTGAGTTTTTTTTATTTTAGAGAATACCAATGTAATTTAATTGAAGATCAGTTGAGGTTAGGATTCATTTAATTATTTTACATAATTACATTATTAACAAATTATTAGATATAAAATTGTTAAATTTTTAAAATTTATTATTATTATTGAGGCATTTGATCAACGTACAAGCTACAAAATGGCGCTACAGCTGATTTCAATAGGTGGACGTTTTTTTATGCATGATCGTCAATCTATAGTTATATATATCATTGGGTTAACTTCAAATTATATATTTATGTTGTAAACAAAATGCATGTTGGATTAACAATTACCGGTATATTTGAGGTGGTTTGAGAAAGGAAATATTTTTAATATTTGAAAGGGGTAATGGAGAGATATGAGATGGAAAAAGATAGGCGGAATACATAATATTTTAATAAAATAATTGAATATAAAATTTAAAAAAGTTGAAAGATGATATAATAAATAATAAATGCAAGTGACTAGAGTTTAATGGCTCTTACTGCTATGGATAGTGCCCATATATTTATTTGAAGTGACATATATCGCGTATTGATTGTAAGTAAAGTAAGATATTATTTCCCATGAAATATGACCTTTCATGTTTAAATAAAAGATGGAGATGAAGTTTTGGTTATATATTTTAATGAGGTGTCAATAATATCATTTTGATGAGATCGGACCTAAATGTAAGGCATGCTTGACAATCTCACTATAATTTATATCCCGCGCAGGCAACAATGTGATGAATAATGATAATCGGTCATCTCCATATCATCTAAATTCTTGTGTAATTAACATATTATAAATCTCTCATCAAAATATATAACGAACAAAACTTCAATTACAACATTAATGATACTAGTGCGTCATCCTAACCCAGCTTTGTTCGAACTGGGGGAGTGAAGCCTAGGAATCATAAATGTCGCTTAATCAGAAATGGTAATGTGGCACAAATTATGGTGAGTAAATTTATGACGATGTTAAAATGTTTTTTTTAAAATAAAATAAAATGTTTTCATTTATAGATTGCCAAACATTGGATTTTTCCATATTCTTTGTATATACTTAAATATATGTTTATGATATGATTATGATTGCA